CTGTCCTGGCTCCGCGCTGTGCTCCGGAAGCAGCCAGTAGGTTGCTGGCAGGCAGCTCTGCGTGCTGTCCCCACCCTGAGCATCAGCTCTGCACTCCCATTGGCCGGGAACCGTGGCCAATAGGAGCTGCGGTGGCGGCACCTGCAAGCGAGAGCAGCGCGCAAAGCCGCCTGTCGCACCTCTGCCTAGGAGCCAGCCGCTTCTGGGGCGCAGGAAGCCTGCCTTAGCCCCCCCCACTGCGCTGCTGGCTGGGAGCCGCCGGAGGTAAGCTCGCACCCCCTGCACCAGCCCTGAGCCCCCCCAAACACCTCATCCCTGGCCCCACGCCAGAGCCTGCAACCTCAGATGGAGCCCTCACCCCCCTGCACCCCAACCCCCTGCCCCAGCACAGAGCCCCCTCCCATCTCTGGCTCCACCCCAGAACCCGCAACCCTATCCGGAGCCCTCACCCCCTCCTGCACCCCGCCCCAGCCTGGAGCCCCCTCCTGCACCCTGAACCCCTCATTTCTGGCCCCACCCCAGAGCCTGTACCCCCAGTTAGAGCCCTCCCACACCCCAATCCCCTGCCCCAGCCCCGTGAAAGTGAGTGAGGGTGGGGGAGAGTGAGCCACTGAGGAAGGGGGAATGTAGTGAGCGGGGGGGGCAGGGCCTTGGGGAAGGGGTTGGGACCTGGGGGAAGGGTTGGGGCTAGGGTGTTCGGTTTTATGCAATTAGAAAGTTGGCAACCCTAATCCAGGCATTTCTCTGCCTGCCATTGAAATGCGGCCACCTCTGGGCTGGAGGATGACAGGTCTTAATAGTGCACAGCACTGCTACACAACAGGGAGCCGATCCTGCAAACTCTCACAGGTGGTCTCTTAAGCCAACTCCCATGAGTGAAGGACTATGGGCAGGGATAAGGGTGTGTAGGATCAGGCCTTGCTTTAGGACAGGAAGCAGAGAAAAGGGAAAAAATTAAAACGTCAAATTTTTGACCACCGAGTCCCTCCTGGAATGGCTTACCCAGGTAGCTAGAGGAGTGGGGGGAACCCCACGAGACAGGATCACGTCTCCTCCAGCCTGCAGCCCAGGGAATGGAAGTGGATGCAGGAAACACAGGCCAAGGTTCTGTTTAGTCAGGCAGGTTTCACTGGCGCTAGCCCAGTGCAGCAGCCTCGGGCGAACACCACATGCTGCCACATGCACAGTCAATGGGAGTCCATCGCTCAGTCCTAAGTGTCCCTGGGAATGTTGGGGAGGCAGAGGGAGCTCTTGCCACAGGACCCATTCTTCTGATCCCCTAGTAGCACTGAGAGTCTCTGAGGAGCCACGTCGGACCCTCTGCAGCTGGTAGGCCACCTATTATGGCACTTTAGTGGGAAGGGGCCCGTTTCTCTCCTCCCATTCCCCCGCACACTCTCCCCCTCCATTTATCCTCCCTCCTGCCCCTACATTCCCACGTTTCCTTGCACACGCACACATCCTGCCCGGTTCTGAGCACCCACAACCCACACAGATTTCAGTGGAAGATACTCAGCACCTCACAAGATGATGTCCTGGTAGGTCAGCAAACCCCTCTCCTCCACTCTGTTCTCTGGCTGGTCTGTTGCATGCTGTGGTGTCACCTGGAGAGGGAACCAGCAATGGGGGGAGGGATCGAACAGACTCCTCCCCCCCGCAAATGCCCCACTACTTGGGAGGGGGATCACTTGTTAATACCGCATCTGGTGGGGTTCTCTGACTGCCCTTCCCAAGGTTCCTTTAAGCCTTGGTGTCTCTAGAGCTTCCCCATCTCTCTCACTCTCTCTCTCACACACACACACACGGAGAAGGCTGGTGCAGAGCCTACCTGTGCTCCACACACTGCATCCCCCCCGCTTCATTTCAGGAGTTGTGTAATAGTGATTGCTCAGCAATCCCTAACCTTCTCTGCATCAGCAGCTCTCTCCTGGAGTGCTTCCTTCAGTCCTATTTTGAAATTTCTGCACTAATGTGGGGACAGCTATTGCTATGGAACAGGCTTGTGATTTTGCTCTCGCCCTGTGGAATCATAGTATGCTTATACAGGAGGAATTTAGGGATGACCTAGTGCTCATTAATATAACAACCTCACCACAGTCTCATGTCACAGGAGAAAAAAGCTATGTCTCAAGAGTCTCCGCCATCTCCTCTTTCCCCTAATGCAGTGGTTCTCCACCAGGGGTGCACATACCCTTGGGGGTACGCAGAGGTCTTCCAGGGGGTACATCAACTCATCTAGATATTTGTCTAATTTTACAGCAGGCTACAGAAAACGCACTAGCGAAGTCAGTACAAACTAAAATTTCATACAATGACTTGTTTATACTGCTCTACATACTATACATTGAAATGTAAGTACAATGTTTATATTCCAGTCGACTTATTTTGTGATTCTGTGGTCAAAATGAGAAAGTCAGCAATTGTTCAGTAATAGCGTGCTGGGACACTTTTGTATTTTTATGTCTGATTTTGTAAGCAAGTCATTTTTAAGTGAGGTGAAACTTGGGGGTTTGCAAGACAAATCTAAAAGGGGAGAGTGGTCTGGAAAGGTTGAGAGCCACTGCCCTAATGTACCTTGATTTGCTTATTTAGCTGCCTTGCAAGTCCAGTTCAATTTCCCCATCGAATCATAGAAATGTAGGGCTGGAAGGGATCTCGAGAGATCATCTAGTCCAGCCCTCCGTACTGAAGAGGGACCAAGTAAACCTAGAGCAGGGGTCGGCAACCTTTCAGAAGTGGGGTGCCAAGTCTTCATTTATTCACTGTAATTTAAGGTTTCCCGTGCCAGTAATACATTTTAATGTTTTTAGAAGGTCTCTCTCTATAAGTCTATATTACATAACTAAACTATTGTTGTATGTAAAGTAAATAATAGTGCAGCGAGGTGAGCGGGGCTGGTGGCTGGTATCCCAGGCTGGCAGCGGGCTGAGCGGCACCAGTGGCCAGGACCCCGGCTGGCAGGGGGCCGGTGGCTGGAACCCCAGACTGGCAGCGGGCTGAGCGGGGCCGGCGGTCGGGACCCCAACTGGCAGCAGAGTGCCACTAAAAATTGGCTTGCGTGCTGCCTTTGGCACATGTGCCGCAGGTTGCCAACCCCTGACCTAGACCATCCCTGATGGGTGTTTATCTAACCTGTTCTTAAAAATTTCCAATGATGGGGATTCCACAAGCTCCATCACTAACCTGTTCCAGTACATAACTATCCTTATAGTTAGAAAGCTTTTCCTAATATCTAACCTAAATCTCCCTTGCTGCACATTAAGCCCATTACTTCTTGTCCTACCTTGCAAACATGGACAACAATTGCTCACCAGTCGCTTTATAACAGGCCGTAATGTATTTGAAGACATGTCAGGTTCTCCCTTCAGCCTTCTTTTCTCAGGACTACATGCTGATTTTTTTAACCTTTCCTCATAGATCACATTTTCTAAATCTTTTATCATTTTTGTTGCTCTCCTCTGGATCCTTTCCAATTTGTTCACATCTTTCTCAAAGTGTAGGGCCCAAAACTGGACACACTACTCCAGCTGAGGTCCCACCAGTGCTGAGTAGAGCAGGACGATTACCTCCTGTGTCTTACATACAACACCCCTGTTAATACATCCCAAAATGATATTAGTCTTTTTTGCAATTGCATCACATTGTTGACTCATAATCAATTTGTGAGCCACTTTAACCCTGAGATCCTTTTCTGCAGGTCTGTCATCTGGCCAGTTATTCCCCATTTTGTAGCTGTGCGTTTGATTTTTCCTTCCTAAGTGTAGTACTTTGCACTTGTCTTCATTGACTTTCATCTTGTTGATTTCAGACCAATTCTCCAATTTATCAAGATTATTTTGAATTCTAATCCTGCCCTCTGAAGTGCTAGCAACCCCTCCTTCAGCTTGGTGTCATCTGCACATTTTATAAGCGTGCTCTTCACTCCATTGTCCTAGTCATTAATGAAAACATTGAATAGTACTGGTTCCAGAATAGCCCCTTGTGACCCCATGAGATACATCCTCCCAGTTTGACTGCAAACCATTGATAACTACGATTTGAGTATGGTTTTCCAACAGTCGTGCACCCACTTTATAGTAATTTCATCTAGACCACGTTTCTCCAGATAAATCGTGTCTGTGGCTTTCCCCCATCCACTAGGCCAGTAACCCATCAAAGAAGGAAACTAGGTTGGTTTGGCATGATTTATTCTTGACAAATCCATGTTGGTTATTACTTATCACCCTATTATCCTCTAGGTGCTTACAAATTGATTCTTTAATAATTTGTTCCAGTATCTTTCCAAGTAACAAAGTTCGACTGGCTGGTCTATAATTCCCTGAATCCTTTTTGTTCCCCCTTTTAAAGATAGGTGCTATGTTTGCCCTCCTCCAGTCCTCTAGGACTCCATCCATCCTCCATCTGGAGCAAGGAGCCATCCTTTAGGTGCAGTAACTTGCTTTAATTCTGCTCCTCACACAAGGACTTTCCTACCCTTGATTGCCCCTTTTATCGAAGCACTTTACACACAGGAACTACCTAAGCCTCCTGGTTCCCTGTGAGGTAGAGCACAGATATGTCTGGTGTCACCAATGGCAGTGTAAGCACATAACTAGCACATTGTGGGAGGATAGCTGTGAGGCTGGCAAAACAAGCATCAGTGGACAGCCCCTTTGAAAACTTTGCCCTGACTTTCTACCAACAGAACCAAAGAGAACCTTGGTTCTTAAGGTCTTGTGTGGGCAGATCCTCCCACCCAGTAAACTGCATGAAGCTCTAGCTGTCTCTACCCCAGAAGTACATAGGGCTGGGTCAATCCTGGTGGGATTTGAACCCATGGTTCCGGCCACTTAGAGATGTACTAAACTGCTAACTTACTGCCTGGGAAGGGAATCTTTTTCAGAGCTTTCCAGGTGGTCTCAGCGGTTCTTAAAAGGAGAACACCCTCCCCCAAGTAACTCTCCCTAGTAGTATGTTCGTCTCCTGCAGCCGTAGTGTTGAACCTTCCTTTCTCTCGGCAGATTCAAAGGAGTGCCTTTTCTGTCTTCTTTGATGAGAAGTTTTCCATCCCCTTGGACCCGTCTGCGCTGGAGGAAAACAGCTTGAGATTTTCTGTCTTTGGCATTGATGAGGACGAGAGGAACATCAGCACCGGGGTAGCAGAGCTGAAGCTGTTGGACTTGGATCTGGCCAGCCGCCCATTCAATGCTTGGCTCTATCTGCAGGACATGAACAAGGTAAGCGCTCGTTGTCTGCATGCTGGTCCCAGCTGGGCTCCCTGAAAAGGAGGTAGTGGGGCATGAAAGATAAGCGCTGTATTTTCTGTACTTACTGGGTCAGCCACAGGCAGTGCTGGGTTTGATTACCTCCCCAGCGGGAGCTGTCCAGTGCATGAAGTGTGAGACAATTTCATCTTTACTGCTGGGTTTGGAAACCAGAGCTGATGCTGAAGCACAAGATCTGGAGGCTCAGCGGGGAAAACAGGATATGATGTCACTCCAGATCTGGTCATCCTTCCTGTGCAGTGGCATGGCAATGGCCAACACTTCCTGCTGTGGAGCGAGATGAAACCAGCCCCTTGCCCTCATAATGCACCTTACCAATTGTGTAATGATACACCTGGGAGGAGCAATTCCCTCCTTCTCCCTGCAGGCCATCAGCTGACACCCTGAAGCATGAGCGTCCTTATCTCAACTTGCAGAGCTCAAATTGTAATTCATGGGGAGGAGCCAGGGCCAGCCAACGCTGAGGTCCAGACCCAAATTTCCCAAGTGTTCAGGTGTTTGGTTCTGGGGTTGGCTCAGGCCCAGCTCAATTCAGTAAGAGTCCTTGACTTCTGAAAAGCAGTGAAAATATTTGTCTCATTGACCTCCAAAGGCTGAGGTGAAATAGTGTTTCCTCTTCTGCGTTTAGATTCACTGGCAGATCCTCAGCTGGTGTGAGTCAGCATTTACACCAGTGAGAATCCAGCCCGCTGCCTTTTGGTTTAATCAATGTGACCCCTGTTTCTCCCAGTGTGGGGGCAAGGTAGAAAGGAGAATAGAGGGAAGTGATCAGGATTTCCCTCTACTTTTGCCACCATCAATGACAGTTGGATGTCACACATGAAGATGACACTTATCTTTCTGAGGTACTTATGTGGGCTCCACACCATATTATCTGAGCTCCTCATAACCTTCCATGTAGTTATTCATGCCACACTGCTGTGAGGTAGAAAAGTGCTATTTTCCCCATCTGCAAGAATTGCGACACAGAGACTAAGGCCTGGTCTACACTTAGAGCTTAGACTCTCGGAGGTGAAAAGTCCACTCCCTTGAGCACTGTAGCTCTGCCAGCCCGAGCCCCCAGTGTACGTTGATAGAAGACTGCTTCTGTCCACCTAGCTCCCATTACTTGGGAGGTGAAGTGACTACAGCTTTTTCCCATTGTCGCGCACATCTACACTATGGGGCTACAGTGACACAGCCACCCCATAGCATGGGCAAACCCTCTGTGAATTGCCCATGGTCACACAGGCAGTTTGTAGCAGAGCAGAGAATTGAGGTCTCCTGAGTCCCAGTGCTGGCCTCTAACCACTAGGTCAGCCTCTGTAGGCTATAGCTACACTGCCTGGCTTCTGTCCTCGTTCAGGGAAAAGCTTTCCCTGCCAGATAGCTATTTCTCCTGCCCCTCTTATCTGTGAATGAGTCATTTCTGCCGAGGATTGCTGTTGGGTGACGGATGGTGCCTTACGTGCCCTGCAGGCAGTTGACTCGGTGGGAGAGATCCTGCTGTCTCTTAGTTACCTACCCACAGCGGAGAGGCTGACGGTCGTTGTGGTTAAAGCCAAAAACCTCGTGTGGACCAACAGCAAAATGACAGCAGGTGAGTGCGAGGCCATGAAAGAGCAGCTCCGGCCAGAGGCCAGCTCCGTGCAGCTCCGCCCTGCCTGCAGCTTCCCCTGCTAGAACTGCTGCCCAGGGTGCATCTCCGCTGTATTAGTGCTTGAAGTGCTGCAGTGAGTCCAGGCACTCCACACCTGTTAAATCAGCTGTAGCTCTGGGGAGCTCAGACGAGAAGCCCAGAACTTGAGCTCCAAAACCTCAGGCCTCTTGCACTTGAGCCAAGGGGATCATGTAGAGCCAGGGCCGCCAAGAGCGGGTTCGGGCCCTGGTGAAAAAAAATTTTCGGGCCCCCCAGCAAGGGCGGACCGGCTAAACAGGGCCGACAAGAGGGGGGAGGGAGAAAGCCGGGCCCCGGGACCCCTTCCGGAATTTTTTTGGGCCCCCCAGCAAGGGCGGACCGGCTAAACAGGGCTGACAAGAGGCGGGGGAAGCTGGGCCCCGGGCCCCCTTCCGGACCGCCGGGACCCAGTAATTTGTACCAGCTTCCTCCCCCTCTCGTCGGCCCTGCGTAGAGCTGCTAGCAACGGCAGTTGTTATTTACTGTTTGTAGTGTGTTGGTCCCAAATAGAGACAGGGCCGCATTGCGCTAGGCACTGCACTTAATCTCTGTACTGCTCAGCCACTAGGAGGCAGCATTGCTCACAGGCACAGTTTTTCTATTGCCTCATTATAGTCACCAGGGGTCCCCTAGTTAAATGGGAAGGGCCTGTTCTGCCACAGGTGAATGGGGAGTTTATTCAAGTCACCCCCAGGCATATTAACAGGTTACATTATTTATTTTTGTGGTAGTGCCTGGTAGCCCCAGTCACGGACCAGGACCCCGCTGTGCTTGGCGCTGTACAACCACAGTGCAAACAGATGGTCCCTGTCCCAAAGAGCTAATGCAGAGGCAACGTGTGTGTGTGTGTGGGGGGGGGTTATGTCCTCCCCCCCCCGATATCTGCCTTTCATTTAGCAACAGCTTCTATTCAGAGATTTTCAAAATGTGGGACGTGCCCCGCTAGGGATGAACGTTCAGGGATGCCAGCCCTGTACGACAGGGATCCACCCCTTGACTCACCTCAGCCGTGAGCCCCACTTGTCAGCTTATCCCAAGTCCAGCAACCCCCACGCTCCGAGAGCTGTGCTCCATCCTTGTTAGTAATGGCCTACGCTGTCACCTGCTCTGTGGTGCCCTGCGCTCATTGCTCCAGCCCCTGCCCGCCTCACCTCACCGGGAGAGGGGCGGCACCTCCAGGCAGGGGCTAGCAGCACCTGTACTGAAATGCCGCCCACTGGCCCGGGGCAGGCTTTTGCAATGTCAGCGCTTTCCTAAACTTGGTTGCGGTTTCTCCGCGCTGGGGTGGGGTTCAGGATGCGGCGCACTAGCCGCTGTGGGGCTGGCTGGGAGCGGAGGGGCCATGGGGAGCAAAGGTGGGGGAGAGAAGGGCCTCGCCAAGGGTGTTAGAGAGAGGGGGAGAGCAGGGCAAATGGACAGGAACATGTCCGTCTCTTCCTGCCCCCTCCCATGCCCCTCAGTCACTCCCACCCCGCACCCTGCAGAGGCAATGCATGGAGAAGTCATATGCCTCCCCATGACCAGTTACACATCATCTCTGAGCTACTGTGCGTATACCCCTTTTCCCTGAGGCGCCGTGATCCCTGCGCTCACTCAGCATTGTCTCTGCTTATGGGTGGAGGAGGGTTGGTGAATGAATGATGGTCCTTTGTTTCCCATTGTCCAAACAGATCCTTTCGTCAAAGTGTACTTGCTTCAGGACGGGAGGAAGATCAGCAAGAAGAAGACAGCTGCGAAGAGAGGTGACACAAATCCGGTGTTTAATGAGGCCATGATTTTCTCAGTGCCCGCAATCGTCCTACAGGTGAGAACTTCCCAGTCAAGGGCAGACTGAAGAGTTGTAACTTTTTTTTTTTTTTTTTAAGCCAGAAAACTTTACACCGTTCATGAGATCCACCCAAACCTGCCTCTTGGGTCTACCCAACAGGGTGCATTCAAGACTGCACCTTCCCTCCTCCCCCACATCACGGAAATTACAGTACACCAGGGCCTGAGTATGTAACTAGAACTACAGACTGAGCTGTAAATCTTCACTCATCCTTAGCCTGACATTTACATTTTTCTGAAATCTCCTGGAGTTTGACTGCTTCTTATATCAGGGAAGAGATTCGGGCAGTGAGTTTCCTGGTGCAAATCAGAGAAACATTAAAATTAAATCCTGCAGCTGAAACAGGAGGGTCGATGGCTGAGATCTAACCAGGATCACTGCCCGTCTTGAAAGCAGAGAGTAATTTCATTTAGCAAGTCAGAGGCTCTGGTGTTAGCAGCTAATAAACGTGTCTGAAGGAGACACCTTCAAAGGACAGATAATAAGGAGGAAGCTTTCTTCAATGGCATGGAAACAGGAAAGAGCCTATTAAGGTATGGTCGCCATAACAACATCGCCAGGGGTTTCCTCCTGTTCCTCCCACCGTGAGGGTGATAACGCTGAGATCAGGGAGAATTGGACAAAGAGAAAGGAAATGAATGTGTCAGTGAAAATGGCTAGAGCGGCAGTGAGTGAAAGCTAGAGCTGTAGCGTATAAAGCTGCAGGTGCCGATGAAACACACTTGAGACTTTTCAAAACAACTGGGAGAGGAAATCTCAGAAAATCAGCTTCAATAAGTCCAAGGACTCAGGAGACAGGAAGGGTGGATCAGTGGTTAGGGGGCTAGGCTGCGGCTCAGGAAACCCAGGTGCAGTTCCCTGCTCCGCCACAGACTTTCTATGTGACCTTGGGCAAGTCACTTAGTCTCGCTGTGCCATCTCAGTACCCCATCTGTAAAATGGCACTAATAGCAATTCCCACCACCCAGTGGTGCTGTAAGGATAAGTACATTAAAGACTGGGAGGTGCGTCGGTGATGGGGCTATACAGCTATCTACGAGAGACGGGTAGAGATGCAGTCCCTGATGGCTGTGAAGAAGCAAACGTGGGACTGGAGCTCTGTGTAGGGAAGGGAATGCAGGAAATTGCCCTCTGCTTAGCCTGACGTCCATCCCATGTAAATGATTCCAGCCTGTAACAAGGGAATTTGTGGTTGAACATTTGGGAGAGATGGGCTTTTTGAATGAAAGTCGGCCATGCCAAACAAATGGAATAGCTGGGTCTACTGCTCACTGACTGATTGGAGCAAGATCTGGCAATTGTCTTCAGTGGGCCACGGCTCTGGAGCAAAGGCAGCAAGTGGAAGCCTTGGCAGGCAAAGGGAATGTCGTCTCTCTGAGTGTCAGTAATGCAGTCGCGCTCTTGAAACGTAAGGGAACTGAATAAATACCAAGGCATGAATCAGAAACATGTTGATTAGAACTGGTTGGAAATTTCCCACAAAAACTTTTTTTCAGTGGAAAATGCTTTTTTCAACCAAAGTGGAAGTTTTCATGAAAAACTTACATTTTGATCCAAAGGATTCTTTTATTGACCCTTTTTTTCCCCTAGAAATTTCCAGAAAGTTTCATTTCAGTGGGGGAGGAACCCACTTGCTCCCACTTTTTCCTCCCCTTTTTTTTTCCAATGAGTAAAAGACTTAAAAAAGTGAAAGCCAGTTATTTTTTTTCCTACCAAAATGACGCGTTGTTTAAAATTTCACAACCAGGGCAAAATAAAAAGCAATTAACAGAAAGTTTCAAACAAAATGAAAAGATGCTTGTTCTTTTGAAATGTTTGTGTAATACACACCATCGTTTTCTGACCCGCTCTGTCTAGTGCTGATGGACAGAGCATAACTTTGCATGGTAAGTATGGAAAGGCAAAAAGCGTAGTTCCAGATCTAAACTGCTCCAGAACTCAAAACCCAGGCTGTCTCATTCAGACACATCTCTAACGACAAGGCTTTCAAAGAGGGGAACTGCTGGGGTCATTTCTAGGGCCCCCGGTAAAGTCAACGAAAGCGAAGGCTGCTCAGCAGGATCGGGCTCCTTGTGAGTGAAAGTTTCTAGGCTGTATCCTGAAGGGTGCTGAGTGTCTGCTACCCTGTGTGACATCAGCCGGCATGGGGCACTGTGAGCTGGTGCTCAGCTGCTCTCAGGGGTTGGCCTGGTTGAAAAGCAGTCGTAGCTCTAGAGGAGGATTTCTACAAAGGGGAATTTAATAGACAACCAGGTCAGCATCACTCTGGAGTAAACTGGCCCTCGTGGTGCTGACAGATACTATTCTGCTGGAACGCTCTTCCACCCAGCCACCTACATGAACAGAACTGCACTGGCTTTGTGCGGGAGCTCCTTAAGTAGGAAGAAGTAGTGCTGGGCTTGTTTTTTCCATCTTGAGTTTAAGGGGAGGGTCATTTCTCTCCAAGCCACTCTCAGCAAGGGACTCTGTGGGAAGACGCCTGTTGACTTCAGGTCCCCTGTCTGTTCCCGGCAGCTGGCTGGGATGTGAGAGAATGTGCTGTGGACTTGTCTCTGCAATTCATTTCTTCTTAGTTTCAGAGGGGTAGCCGTGTTAGTCTGTATCAGCAAAAACAACGAGGAGTCCTTGTGGCACCTTAGAGACTAACACATTTCTGTTTTGGAAGTAGCGTGGGACATAATGAAAAGCAGGGCTGGGTCGCTAAACTAACCAGAGTAATCTCCACTTTGCATGCAGGCTCACACGGAGCCGGTTCCATTGCTCAGCTCATGCGAGAAAGGGGCTGCTGTGTACTCGGTACACAATGGAAATATTCCTTGGGCTGAGGTCTGAGTTACACTCTCCTGTGCTAATTATTCATAATGCTGACCCCTTAGGCAGTAACCAAAGCTACCCTATCCGCTAGTATTAAAGTGGGCTTTTACTCTGCAACGGGCCTGTGTATACATGGTTCCCAGTCCCTCAGCAGATCAGCTCCCTCTGTGTGTCCAGATTCAGATCTGCTGACTTGAGTGACAAAAATAAGGCTTATGGCTTTTTACGCAGAGCCAGCACTCCCACGGGAGACTATTCCACCTTGTGTGTTGTTGGCAGGATTATTTACTATATTCCAGAGACAAGGGGGAGGTAATATCCTTTATTGGACCAACTTCTATTGGTGAGAAAGACAAGCTTTCGAGCCACACACAGCTCTTCTTCAGGTCTGGGCTGAAGTGGGAAGTGAGTGTGAGTCTAATAGATGTCACAGACACACTGTGCTAGCGTAAATTTCCCCAGCTTGTACTCCCCTGGAATCCAGTAAACTTTTCTCAGAGTTTGGCCCCTTGAGTCTCATAAGAACCTACTCTCAGGAGATTTTTGGAGACTGTGCTTTCAGGGATACCTCAAGCACCACTTCACTCATGATACTTGACCCTTGCCTTTCACTGCCATCGGGCATCAAATTGTGCTTAGATTGCAGTAGGGTCTTTGGGGCAGGGACTCTATTTTTGTTCTGTGTTTGTACAGCGCCTAGCACAATAGGTCCTGGTCTGTGACTGGGGCTCCGAGGCGCTACCTCAATACAAAGAAATAAATAATGCAATGGGACATTGGTAATGTTTCCTGTGCCCCTCCAGGATCTCTCTCTCCGGGTGACGGTGGCAGAGTGTTGCGAAGATGGGAGAGCGGAAAACATTGGCCATGTCATCATTGGCCCGTCGGCCAGCGGCATGGGCATCACGCACTGGAACCAGATGTTGGCCACCTTAAGGAAGCCGGTGTCCATGTGGCACCCAGTTCTACGAAACTAAGGGCAAAGTTACACTCTGCGAGTATCTTGCATGGTGCCTAGACTTCCCATAAGCAAATATTCTTGGCAAATGGACAGTGGTACGTGGGACATAAACTATTTTTCCAAATGTTCTTCACAAGTTCCATTTAGTAAGAAGGAGCAGCAGGGGAAGTCACTGAATCAGATCCTTGAGAAAGCTTCAGTGGACTAAAACCTGAGAGAAGAAGCAACTCAAGTGTGATTATGCGCAGAAGTAGCTTCCGGGCAAACACTTCCTCCCTAGCACTTCTTTTCCAGTGACACCCGCTTGGGAGTCCCATTATCCCTAATCGTCTGTGATTTTATTTTCCAGTGAACGTTACACAATAGAGCATGGTCTGTTCACTGACTTAAGAGGGTTAGGGGTAAATTTGTGATCTGGCACCCACGGTGGGCTTAGCCCCACAGGTTTTCAAGACAGTGCCCGGGGGGAGTTTAGCCACATGGATTTCCATCTACATGATGGCCAGGCTGGCATTTAACCACCGGGTGTTTTCAGTGCAGGGGCCAATGGTTTTAATACAGTGCTGCCCTGACAATAGTGCCCTCTCCAAGAGGGGTCCTTTGGTTCCTCCTCTGGATGGCTCCCCATTAAAAACTTGAGTTCAGGCACAGTGAGCAGCTCCATAAATAGCGGGTGCTTATCTTCCTCGTCCGATTACTGGACATTCTGAGCTAAACTGTGAGCAGAGGGAATACAAATGTTGGCATTTTTAATAAAGGAGCAGCCTTTTTAAAAAAAGAAAGATATTTCCCAAAGCATAATATGAACCTAAAGGAGAGTCCCTTTAGGAAGAACTCATACTGCACTTTACCATTTCAATGAACCCCCCCTTTTCCACAGCCCATTCTCTCAAAGGCTCGATTCTGCAGTCAGTAGAAGTTGAGAGCCCTCAGCACCTTGGACTCTTGGATTTTGGGGGGCTCCATGTTTGAGGTTGGCTGAAATTCTTCAAATTTCAATTAAAAATGTCATCAAAATCTGACTGGGAAAAAATGGGGATGGTGATGGAATTTGATAACATATTGGTGACTCCTGTTTTTTTGACCAACTATGGAACAGGGTGAAATGTTTTGAATTTCAAATGCCAACCAGAAAAGTGGGGAAATGTCCACTCACAAAACAGCTGATTTCTTTTTTCCCCCTCCTGTTTTCCGGCCAATTCTAGAGTCCAACTTGAGACACATTGGTGCCAATTTCCAGAGCTCCTGAGCTTCTGCAGACCTTCAGTGCGGGTTGTGGGTGCTCAGCACCTCTGGGAGCCAGGTCCACAGGGTCTCGTATTGGGCACCCAACAGTGTAGGCCTCAGTTTTTACTCAGTCCCCACCTAAAGATCAAGTTGCGGTCAAGTTTAGCACATGCCAGCTTATCCCAGCCTCAGCTCAGCCACTCTTCCTAGTCAAGATAAACCCAGGGTTGCCAGCTATCACAGTTGTGTTGCAAATCTCATGATTTTTGGTGTTGTCCGTAAAGCCCCAGCTCTTGGAATCATGTTGTTACTTGCTAATCTCACTTAAAACAAAAACAACAAACAAACTAGCTAACCAAATTAAGTGTCTAGCCCTCATGATAATGGAGAAAAGCTTGAAAACATGAGCACTCAGGGCTCAAACACCACAAC